TACGAAACGGCCGATATCTGAACTAGTCAGAACGTATTGCGCGCCGTACTATCATTCTACAACTTTTTGCAACGAAGGAAAGTTGCACCGCGAGACCTATACAGCCCTATTGTATCTATTAACCGGCTACTTTCTCATTTCTTGCCATTTACGGTCCGTTGAGAAAATCGAGATGCATTTTGCAGTATATCAGCGCATGATGAAGAGACAGAATGACAGCATAACTTAGGCCCACTCACGGTCGGCCTGACTCATTTATCTTGAAGAGTAAATTATATTATTATTACTAGGACTATAGAGAGGCATTTGTCTTACAGTGTATAAGCTACAAGCAAAAACATAACAGGCAAAAAAGGTTAAGCGACTGTTGCGCTCGCTGAGCAAGACGATTTAAAGAAAAACGCGGTGTTAATCCACATGGGAAGCCTTGAGCGCGGTGTCGGGTTGCGGCCGCGGCTCCGTCGGCTTTAGTTACATGGACGACCGCGCGCTCGCCACATCTTCCTACGTGCCCCTCGAATTATACATTACTTCATACAACGTCCGAAACGGTAAACTGCCTTTTGATCAACACTAATACTCATCTATCTAACTTGAAGACTCAGCAAATGAAAGGCTGCAAAACATTTTATGAAGTCGTTCAGCTCGTTAGACCATGTTTGATCTCGAGATGTGATACAACTACGTATATGCACGGTGGACGTGAAAATTACCGCTGCGATAAATTCATAAACCTGGCTTTAGGTCTTACGAGCAGAGCAACCGGTCGCCGCAATCAATATGCTGGTGGACAGCCAGCCACCATAAATAGAAGAAGTGGACTGGGATTTAATGATGCCGCTCCGCGAAAACGTGCCTCGCTTGTCGCTGTTATCAATCATGCTTACAGCTCAGTCCCAGTATCTCTGTATCGTTTCACTTGGTTATTAGATTCCAGTAGGAAGAAACCGATATTTATTTTATGGCTTGCCTATTGAATTTTATTGCCAGCAAGAATGGACGTGATTTATTTTTTAGAGATCGAAGTAAACCAGTTCGAGATAAAGTAAAAGATCTTGTAAACGTTAGGTGAACTCGTTGTTACAATGTAGGGGGTAGGTGTATAGGGGGTGTGCGGAGAATTATGAAGTTTCCCCTGTCGAATAAACGGGGTGTTCTCACGCGAAACGAGCCGGGTACAAGACAATACCGGTCGTATTTACGTGATAGATAAGTGAAGAAAATGTTTTAAATTATCTCGCGTGCCTCGGTCGGTGCACGAGCGGACGTTAGCAGCACAATAGTAGCACTTCGCGCGTCAGAGTAGCACGAAATAGCATTTAAATTACCGTCGTTGATTATCTATGTTAAAATACAATCTAAATTACGTGGAATATCTGTCTGCTTGTACGAAAATCGTGACTAACGATCAAAGTTTGTTTAAGCATAAAAATATATTGTTAAAAAGACAGAATTTGAGATTTAAGTGAGTGTTTAGTGTAAAGATATACCAAATTCACAATCACTTTGTTAGTTTCAAATTAAAAACAAATAGCTCAATTATAGTCCAGACCTATTCTGCCATGCCTAGATTATGGTCCCATAAAACGTTATAAACATGAATAACTTTCAAGTAATCTTATTAAAATTTATATGGCCAGTTAGAGAAAGCCTGAATACATAAAGTTACCGCTTTATAAGTGGCGTTAAGTGTGTTTATTTACAACAATAATTATTGGACCTTGATAGACAAATCTAAGGTATATTATAAACTAAACTTACCTAGTATATATGAAACATTTATTATTAAGCTCATTGGCTTATTCACGTAACTAATTAGCAAGATACCATCATTGCTGGAGTTGTTGAAGTATTTCGAGCAATGCTACTACGAGCCCTTAACAAGGTTTGAAACTAGTCGAGGTAGGGCGTCAAACAAACAAACTTAAGATATCTCACGAAAACTGTACGAAATACAAAGATTACAAAATCTCCTCCCTGTTTTTTATCTAATCACCAAGTTCGAGAATAATCAATGACAGAATCTTCAATAAATAAAATGTTCATCATTACATTATCATTGATTACTTTATTAACAAATTAGACAGAGGTAACACCTTGCTATTCTATTATTTGCTTTCATTATGTAGTTAAACAAATTTTGTGACCTACGCACTATCGATTCTGAATCAACCATGCGTATGTGACGCATAAAGCCATATGCACTGCATAACGAACAAAATTATGTAGTTACAAACCTAATATAGCTCAACTACAGTCAAGCGTATGTGTTGAGTGTTGTAATAAATAACAAACAAACGTCGAGCAAAAATAGCTGCGAGCACGACGGGCAGGGGAATGACCGTCGGTTGACACACAACTGGCTCAAGGCCTGAGATTAGATACCAGAGTCGCATAACAAAACGGCAAACATATAAAGTCTGACAATTGCAAAATAATATATGCAAGAACAATTCTTTAAGGATTCGCGAAAGTGTGTTTTGGTTTTGCGCATTTTCCGGGTAAATTTCGTCGTATTGTTTTTTTTTTTTGTATTTTTTTTGGAATGTTTCCAGTTAGCAGGCAATACTTGTACAATTTGGTTTTGTTTTTAGTTTTGTCTATTTATTTAAGTTACTTATTGTACTTCGTGATATTTCGTTACAAGCGGGATATAAACTGGCACATTTTTTACACAACAATCAGATTTCTTTATATTTTTGCATGAACCCTTACAACAGATATATTGCTTATAATCTTAACCAAAAAAATGCCAAAAATCTTTATAAAAAGTAAGTAAAGTATATTATATACTTGTATTAATTGCCCTTTCAATTTAACCCTTACTGTAAGCATTGTATGCTAAATGCCATCGCTAAAAAAGGGCTAAATGGCTTCAGAATCTATTCTTAACGGTCTTCTTAAGGTAATGAGATCAAAAGGTTCAGCTCGGAGCAAACAATTACATTTAATTTTACAGAAATCTTCTACATTGTACTTTCAAACGTATCCCAGTGAGATTAGGATTGAAATTCAGTTATTTGTTATTTGAAGGAGATCTTACAGAATTAGCGTTGATGCTACCTAATTTACAAGCAAGTGCCACTTCATTTTAGACTTTCTTTTAGTCTACTAAATCGGTTTCAAAATACGCCTATTATGCATATAAAGACTCCTTGTAACTAAGAATAGATACTTCCAACTTGAACCATTTTTTATCTCTTTCTTTCAATCTAAATTGCATGAAATGAAAGATATTTTTTATACTTAATACTTACTGATGTATAGTGAGAAAATGCTATCAGTTAAAGTGCATTAGAAATGTATACCGAGTTTTATACAATAAGACAATTAAGGAGATGGGAGTCTGATATTAGATCCATTCATTTGTTTTAAGTTATTAATGGTATAAGCCAGATAATATTGGTTTTAGTTCAGAAAAAAAAACTATTTTTTTTTTTGTGGCTCCATGATGAATACACAATAAACTGACAACTTCGCTCCCCCGCGTGTGTGTCTGTGTGGCATATTATTATACTTACAAACTTATGCGTATATGATCAAGGACTTTGTTTTCATAGAAGCATTTTTTGTTAAAGATGACTAAGGCAATTCTTTATCCATTCCTGCTAATAGATATCTGTGTGCCTGCACTAAAATACTCTTTGATGATAAACAGATTGAGTACGTGACCGAGTCAATGTATGCATAATATTTATTTGGCAAATATTTAAACGATTGCATAAAGCTCGTAGCGACCATCTTAGCTATTCAGGCAACGTTCAATCTTAAAAGGAATGCTTGCAAAATAAGAATTCCGTCCAGTTTTTTTTTTACCACAGCTACTTATCGACTTTTCGCACACATTAGAACCAACTGAAAACCCATCAATTATATTTTTTTGTGGGCGTGCTAACTGCTAATCGATTCCGTTCTGATTCTGTAATATAGCTATGAATATTTAGCTAATAACTAACAACAAAATTTAACAACATTATGTTTCTATTATATCGGTTTATGCAATACATTAGCACACAAGCACTAATAACAATTTCATTAATTTTAAACAACCGCAGACTGAGTAGGTGCAAAGTTATGTGAACTCAAAATATGGCAACGACTTTAATACTGGCTGGCGTACATTGGCTTTGTGTTTGGAAGGAGGCCATGAAATAAATAAATACTTTTTGTTTTAATAAACTGCTACTGGCTGATCCAATTAAAAATAAGTTCTTCCGAATTCGAAACTGACAGAATTCAAATATTCATGGAACGCTTTTTGCATTGAAATACACGTCAACGGTAATGTTACCACCTGTTATAAAGCTACATTAAACTGAAATAAAGTTTATTTAAAACGCTAAAAAGGCGACGTTTTACTTTCGTCTGGCGGTTAAAGGAGTGTCGCATAAACCACCCAGTGGTACGATTAAATTACAGAAAAGTTACGTTTATTCGGTAGAAAATGTACCGACCACCCCCGGCGCCACCCGTGACAGCGTTTTATCGCGAAAAGTGTCACCCTGTGTTTTTATGGCGCCGACAACAAAAGCAAACTTTCACCTCAACGAAGCTTTTCTGCAATAAAAATATTTTATTGGCTACCTCTGGTACTTGCGTTCAGTTAGAAGGTACGTGCAGATCTCGTTGGGAAAAGATTAATTACGTAGAAACGACGAGTTCGTCGACAAATTATAGAATTAGTGAAATTCCTCGCATATTCTAGGTGCTCCGTTTGACGTCAACTCTTTAGTTGGCTGTACTCATAAAAATGATTTTGATGAATAAAAATGTATCATGATCCTGCTACTTTCGCGTTATTTGATTGCTTTTCAGTGTTAACAGTAGTTTCATGTTCCGTTTTATTCGTTGGAGAATACATAAAATTTCTATTTGAAAGGACTGTTTAAGTGTTTACGCTAGACTTTAAAGCTCCCGGAGGAATTGATCCTGTGTCGTTAAATTGTTGTTTTCTCTTTCCCTTTGTGCAATAACCAGTATTATAGCATGAAAGTACGTACCTTGATTTGATATGAGTTGACTTTGTGCTTCGGTAGAAGGTTGAAAGTAGAAAAGTCCAGTCTTCGGGAGAAAATGCCGTTAGCGCCAGCTCCAGCTCTGCGAAAAAAAAGAAACATTTGAAAAAACAATGGCGAGCGCATCTGTGAATCGTTTTGTAAAATATTACAACGTAGCCTGCAGGTAAAGCTATTACCACGCTTAACAATATGTAATCTCAGTTATTACAACGCCAGACATCACGTTTACTCCATTCCGATTTGCTCCATGAGCAACTTTATCTTTCCAGTTCCTCCAATCTCTTAGTCTTCCAACTTTTAACCCTTTCACCGCAGTGATGAAACAATGAAACAATGAAACAATGAAACAATGAATTTATTTTTGCAAATAGGCCTTAAAACGGCACTTTTACACGTCAAATTATATGTGAAAAACTAGATGAAGCCGGCATTTCCTATCTGACTACTCTGAGAAGAAATGCCGAAACAAACTCAGAGGTCAGTCTCTTTTCAAGTCCAGACAATATAAAATAACATAATGTGAGAGAACCGTGCAAGTTCATTCTGTAGTGGTCTTTTGAGGAAAGAACCACACCAGTTTAAGTGGACCCGTTCTGAAGACAGGCACGCAAGTGTCAGTTTGCAACCATATAGCTAGTGCTGTTGAGTTGTCCGACGAACAATACCGATCAAAAGAACATTTGGGTGGGTCGCGCAAGTACTCAAACTGTCAGAACGCAGATGACTGGTGATAAAAAAGCACTACAAGTCTCACACGGTCCTTACACTAACAATAATATAAAATAATAAAAATGTCAACAAATAAATAAAAAAAAAATGTCAAATAAAAAATAAAAATGTCACACTATGTGATCATGTCATTGTATAAAAAAAAAATAAACGTAATGTCAAATTGTATATAAAAGTGTAACTTATGTTACAAACATGTCAACATGACCTGTGCAGACATTACAGCGGCTCATTCCCAAGCCTGACTATCCTCTAAGTAGTCTTTTATTTTATAAAATGCTTTACAGCAAAGTTTAGCCTTTATTACACTTTTAAATTTATTGAGGCTCAAATTTTGAATATCGCTAGGAATTTTATTGTAAAAGCGTATACATTGACACCTAAACGAACTACTTATTTTCTGAAGCCTGGAGGCAGGCACAACATATTTGTTTTTCCCCCTCGTGTTGATATTATGTATATCACTATATTTCTTAAATAAGCTTTTGTTTTTATGAGCGTGAATTACATTTTCATAAATATATTGAGAGGCAACTGTCATTATTTTAGATTCCTTAAATAATTCTCTGAGCGAATGCCTCGGACTAAGATTATAGATTGATCGAATAGCCCTTTTCTGCAGAACAAAAATAGACTGGATGTCAGCAGCATTCCCCCACAACAAAATACCGTATGACATGATGCTGTGGAAATAACCAAAATAAACTAACCGCGCTGTATCTATATCTGTTAAATTTCTAATTTTTTTAACGGCATATGCTGCAGAACTGAGCTTCTTCGACAAGCCATCTATATGTGGGCCCCACTGGAGCTTAGCGTCCAGGGTTATACCTAAAAAGACAGTTGTATCTACAGGACTCAACTCCTCGCCCTTGACAAGCACACTGGTTTTTATCTGTTTAACATTTGGTGTTGTGAATTTAATACATTTAGTTTTAGTTTCGTTTAGTAATAAGTTATTCACACCAAACCAGTGAACTATTTCTGAGAGAGCACTGTTTACATTGTCAATTAATGATTGTCGTCGTCTGAGTTTGAATAATAGTGAGGTATCATCAGCAAACAGCACTATCTCGTGTTTATCCCTTACAAGGTAAGGCAAGTCATTAATATAGATAAGAAATAAAAACGGGCCGAGAATAGAACCCTGCGGAACACCCATCTTCACAACAGACCCGGCAGAAACCATTCCGTTTACTTCGACTCTCTGAACCCTATTACTCAGGTATGAGGTAAGAAGGTCCAGAGATGCACCTCTAATTCCGTAATGGGAAAGCTTCCTGATCAGTGTATCATGAAGCACGCAATCGAACGCCTTGGATAAATCACAAAATATTCCCAAAGCGTCGCTTGAGTCCTCCCATGCGTCGTAAATATGATTAAGAAGTTCAACACCGGCATCAGTTGTTGAACGACCCCTTGTAAATCCGAACTGCTTCGCATGTAATAATTTATTTTTATTAAAAAATCTTTGCATTTGATCTAAAATGATTTTTTCAAAAATTTTACTGAACGTAGGTAGTACTGAAATAGGTCTAAAGTTAGTGGGGTCAGAAGTACTACCTGATTTAAATAATGGAATTATTTTACTACATTTCATAAGATCAGGAAACACACCACAGTCAATACAGTTATTAAAGATTTGAGCCAATACAGGTGCTACAATAGTTATTACAGAGCTTGTAATGTACACAGAATTACCCCATAGATCTGCAGTCTTTTTGTTATTCAAAGTATTAAAGATTTTAACAATGTCTTTGTTATCTATGTGTTTGAAGGAAAACCCTGAATCGCAAGCTACAACATGTTCTTTGAGTAAAGACTCTGCAACAGTGGGAGATGAATTCAGTGACTTTGTAGTGGATACAGGAATGTCGGAAAAGAAATGTTCAAAAGCAGTTGCAATTTCTACATCCGCTTTTATTAACTTATTATCAATTACTAGACTATGTTGACTAATTCTTTTTTTAGACCTTCCTGCCTCACTGTTGATAATGTTCCAAGTGTCTTTGATAACATTGGTACTGTTCTTTATCTTAGAGCTTAAGAATAGAGATTTTGCAATAGAGCAAACTTTTTTAAATAATTTAGAATAGTTTTTTACATATTCACTGAATTCAACAGTATTAATATATGTCCGCTCATTATAGAGCTCATAGAGGCGATTTCTACTCTTATAGATACCAGTGGTTGCCCAATCACCAAAAGACACATTGCTATTAGCTGGAATAGTTTTATCTGTAAAAGTAGACTTAAACTCTGTTAGGTACATTTTAAAAAACTTATCATATAAAGTGTTAGAATTCTTATAATTCAACAACAAAGGCAATTTGTTGCTGAGTTTAGCTTTGAAAAATTCAATGCGTCTTTTAGTCTTCGGATTAACTGTGATAAATTGTTTTGACACTATATTTATTTCATTTGTTAAAGAAATTAACTGACCACAATGATCGGAATCAAGTACTGAAATTATTTCTTTGTTAACTGGCACAATGTCGGTATAAATATTGTCCAGGCAAGTGGCACTAGTGGGTGTTATCCTAGTTGGCTCCAGAAACAAATTCGCAAGGTTGTATGAAGAAAATAAACTTACAATTTTTGTGCTTAAACTACATTTTTCTAATAAATTTATATTAAAATCACCACATGTAATGATGGATTTCTTTGAATTTGTAAGTTTACTTAATACTTCATCCATTACTGTTTCAAAACAGTCATACAAACCTGAAGGTGGTCTATACACGCTTAATACAATAAACCGCTCCAATTCCACACAGGCTATTTCAACAGTACGCTCAACAGAGTAACTAACTATATCTTTGCGATCTTTGAATTTAAGCTGATTACTTATCAGTATAAGTGAGCCACCATGTATAGCGTTTACTCTGCTGAACGAGCTACCAATCTGGTGCTTACCAAAATTGAACATGAGCTGATGAGGTTTTAGCCAATGTTCAGTTATACACAAAATATCCACATTATTACAATTTAAAAATAACTCAATTTCTAATTCTTTGCTCATAAAGCCTTGAATATTTTGGTGAACCAGATTAATAACCTTATTACTGTTTAATTTGCAAGAGGTTGTCTCTATTGTCTTATTTAATAATTTAAATTATTATGAATGTCAGTATTAGGTGAATTATTATGAATGTCAATATTTTTTGGTTGCTCAATAGGAGTAACCTGTTTAGCCAAGTTATTGGCTGATATATTAAAAAAATATGATAGCGATATTGCTATTTGTCTTAAATAATATTTTGAAAGATAGTACCTATCTTTTGTCTTATATATATTAAGACCAACATAATTGTTGGTGTCTATAAAGTGAATAAAATCCAATTTTCTGTGTACTGCCCTTTGCGACGAGCACATTTCGTGCCGTCAGTATTGAAATGGTTTATGCCTAATCGCGTTACACGGATTTACAGCGAACACGCAGACTTGCGGATTTAATGCAGACGGGAATGCACCGCCATTTTTAATCAAATGACGTTTATCCTTTATTGTGGAGACGAGCACGTTTAATATCATCCACGGTGTCTTGAATTATAAAAAAGCGTAACGACATTTTTAAAGGAAATCGTGAACAACAAAGAAGAACAAAAAGTACTTAAACTTGTTTAGCAATTAAGAATTAAAAGCTCTTCAACATATTTAAAATTTCAACAAGATACTTTAAATAGTTAGGTACATTAAAATTAAAATTTGCATTTAATCCTTTATGTACATTTAAGTAGTTCGCAACGCGAAACACGTGCAAAACAATTAAATAAAAACGTGGTACGAAAAAAAATATTTTGCGTCTGAGTTAATAAACTGTAAACTAGTACAATATGCATCGTTTTTATGCCATCCACGTGAAGCAAAAAGCAGTCTCAAGGTAGCGCAAAAAACTTGTTTTTTCATTGTCAAGGCCAACTGAATTAGATACCGGCTTTCGTATCGCGGCGGGGCGTGTCAATACAAAGTGTGTTTACATTCGGGTATAGATAAAAAATAGCGATTATAATGTTGACGCGCTTGTTTTGTAATACTTATGGCAGACTGCCGGACTATTTTAGACAATCTGAGCATATTATAGGCTCGATTCTGCCAACAACTTTATCCACTGGATAAAATGCAGCATTTTTTGTCTATTACCTATCTATAATCTATCTCTGTGCCCATTTTTATCATAATCCATTCAGTAGTTTTTGCGTAGAGAGTAATAAGTATCCATATAGGTAGGTATACATACATCTATACATGCGTTCAAAATATTAGTAAGATTACGAATGATTAATCAATTATTCTGACCACTAAGTAATCAATATCAGTTACCAACGACGAGTAATAAAATCCTTCAGT